TATCACGGCGGGGGACACTGAAAACGGCATCTACGCTCCAAAGCTGTATTATGACATTGTGTCAAATTTTGTTAGCATGCAAATATAAATTTGCATAATTTGAAAATAACGGTTATACGCTTACATTTATTGTGTCATATTTTATAAACTATTTAACAAATGATGCATTTTAAAAAAAATATGCTAATATGTCAATTGTGATTATTAATGTATGCAAATATAATAATCATTGAAAAAGAAAATACAGTTTCTTAATGAATTCATAGTTGTAATGTATAACTTGACACTCTTCACACTTGTTATGCAGGAATAAACCGATGCATATACCTCCGGTAGAAAATATACTGAGTCAAAAAAAAGAAACTTCACATTCTTTCTTCAGGGCACTATAAAAGAACAAGAGATGGTAAGATGGTTAAATTGTTATTATTTCATTGCTGAGATCTGTGTGATGTACTCGATACACTGACAGTGCCATAATCAGTTCTATTAGGCTACACCGCCGTTCCAAAACATGGGTATACAGAATGTCAAGTCACAAGAATAAAAGTGCGAAATTTCTCAGTTCAATATCGTGTATGGCAGCCCCGCGCTTTCACCACCACTGCCAAACACCGTCTCCTCATCGACTGCCTGATGCTTGTGAACACGTGGTTGGGGATTCTGCGCCATTGCTCTTGCAAGGCAGTGCCAAGTTCCTGCAAATTCTGAGGTTGGTTCCTAAGACCACGAAGCCTTCTCCCAAGTGCATCCCAAACGTGCTCTATTGGATTAAGGTCAGGGGACCTCGATGGCCAGTCCATGACGTTGATTCCAGCGTTTTGAAGGAAATTTCGTGTCAACATCGCGGTATGCGGCCGAGCATTATCATGCTGGAACTGTAGACCTGGGCCATGAGCCGCCATGAAAGGAATGAGTTCAGGGGTGAGCACCTGGTCGCGGTAAGCAGCAGCTGTGAGGTTTCCACGGATGACCAGAAGTCGGGAACGGTTGTTCCCACAGAAAGCACCCCACACCATGCAACTTCCGCCCCCGAATCTGTCGACTTCCTGTACACAACATTGGGCATACCGTTCACGACGTCGTCTCCAGACTCTATGCCTGCCGTCCGCGAATCTGAGGGTAAACCTGATTCATCGCTAAAGACGACTCGATTCCAGTCTCTCTGGGTCCATCGGAGGTGACGTTGGGCCCACAGCAGACGTTGACGTTGATGAAACGGCGTCAACATTGGCCCACGATATGGACGTCGAGAATGGAGATTGGCAGCCCGCAACCGATTTCGAATGGTCTGTGAGGACAGTCGACCTCTAAACATCTCAGCCCTGGTTCGTGTAGCCGGCAGAAATCTGTCACGTAGGTGACGTAAGACGATTTGACGGTCTTCTGCTCGTGACGTCACACGTGGACGACCCGACCTTGGGTGATCAGAAGTGGTGCCAGTTTGTTGTAGACGACCTCGCAAGTCATACACAGTACGACGGCTGCATCCCATTGCTCTTGCGACGTCAATAACTGATCTTCCTGCTTGCAACATGCCAACGGCACGTTCACGTTGCACATTTGACAATCGTGGCATTTCAAGTACCGTTAGAACTGTGGTTTAAAAGTGTTTTTTTCAATTCTTGAGGCCAATGCAAACACGTGCATATGAAGAAAACTCCGATGCAAAGATCACGTGATCGACTGCACGTGCAAAACCTGATTTGGCACTAACGTCATTTGCACGGCGAATGGATGGGTTTGAGTGGGTTTTGCTAACGTTTTTCTAGTGTCGAAAGATAGGGATCCCATTTCGGATACATAGATGTATCATCAGAGAAAAATTATTCATTATTTTTCAAATTACATTTTGTGAAGTTTCTTTTTTGACTCAGTATAGTTTGCTTGTCTGAACGAGGAATAGGCATGAAAATTTGTGCCAAATATCACATTACACGAGTCTTGGAATTTGCTTTCATTATTAATGGTAATTAGTAAGAAGGGTTATTTTCAGATGTTGGAATTCAGAACTAATGTTACTGGCTGAAAACAAAATATCTACTGTAAATAAAACGACAAATCAGTCTTCACGCATCGTCGGAATCGCTTCTGCTTTAAGATCTTATCTGCTTTAAGATTATTTGTGAATATTGAAATAGTTTCAATATTCACAAATAATCTCTGCAAAACCTAAGTCGAATATATCATGAGCATGTGTTTTCTAATCACTACCAGTATGCTAATGCTAGCAGGTCCCAGCGATGGGTGAGCGTTTTCCCAGGGATTTGAAGCCCTATCATAATTACAATGCGAGAAAGGGTTTTGTGGTGTCGACTACAAACAGATTTAATAAACCTCTACTTATACGTAATGCTTAATCTACAAAACCAAACTTATATGCCAATGCTTTATCTCATAAACTACACTTATACTCCAATGCTTTATTTAATACACCACACTAATACGCCAATGGTTTAACAAATATATCACACTTGTACGTCAATGCTTTGTCAACTGAACCACACGTATACGCCAATGGTTTAACAAATATATCACACTTGTACGTCAATGCTCTGTCTACTGAACCACATGTACACGCCAATGGTTTAACAAATATATCACACTTGTACGTCAATGCTTTATCTACTGAACCACACGTATACGCCAATGCTTTATCTCATAAACTACACTTCTGCTCCAAAGCTTTATTTAATGCACCACACATATATGCCAGTGGTTTAACAAATATATCGCACTTGTACGTCAATGCTTTATCTACTGAACCACACGTATACGCCAATGGTTTAACAAATATATCACACTTGTACGTCAATGCTTTGTCAACTGAACCACACGTATACGCCAATGGTTTAACAAATATATCACACTTGTACGTCAATGCTTTATTTAATACACCACACTTATACGCCAATGGTTTAACAAATATATCACACTTGTACGTCAATGCTTTATCTACTGAACCACACGTATACGCCAATGCTTTATCTCATAAACTACACTTATGCTCCAAAGCTTTATTTAATACACCACACATATACGCCAGTGGTTTAACAAATATATCGCACTTGTACGTCAATGCTTTATCTACTGAACCACACGTATACGCCAATGGTTTAACAAATATATCGCACTTGTACGTCAATGCTTTGTCAACTGAACCACACGTATACGCCAATGGTTTAACAAATATATCACACTTGTACGTCAATGCTTTATCTACTGAACCACACGTATAAGCCAATGGTTTAACAAATATATCACACTTGTACGTCAATGCTTTATCTACTGAACCACACGTATACGCCAATGCTTTATCTCATAAACTACACTTATGCTCCAATGCTTTATTTAATACACCACACATATACGCCAGTGGTTTAACAAATATATCACACTTGTACGTCAATGCTTTGTCTACTGAACCACACGTATACGCCAATGGTTTAACAAATATATCACACTTGTACGTCAATGCTTTGTCAACTGAACCACACGTATACGCCAATGGTTTAACAAATATATCACACTTGTACGTCAATGCTTTGTCTACTGAGCCACACGTATACGCCAATGGTTTAACAAATATATCACACTTGTACGTCAATGCTTTGTCTACTGAACCACACGTATACGCCAATGGTTTAACAAATATATCGCACTTGTACGTCAATGCTTTATCTACTGAACCACACGTATACGCCAATGGTTTAACAAATATATCACACTTGTACGTCAATGCTTTATCTACTGAACCACACGTATAAGCCAATGGTTTAACAAATATATCACACTTGTACGTCAATGCTTTGTCTACTGAACCACACGTATACACCAATGGTTTAACAAATATATCACACTTGTACGTCAATGCTTTATCTACTGAACCACACGTATACGCCAATGGTTTAACAAATATATCACACTTGTACGTCAATGCTTTATCTACTGAACCACACGTATACGCCAATGGTTTAACAAATATATCACACTTGTACGTCAATGCTTTATCTACTGAACCACACGTATACGCCAATGGTTTAAGGAATAAACCACTCATACCCGGATGCTGTATCAGGTAAACGTCCCTCACGAGCTAATGCTGTGTTCAGTAAACCCAATTATTAAGGTAGGACTGTTTTTCATTGCCATCAAGCATAAGATGACCGAAGTATGATTTTTCTTAAATTATTCTCAAAAAAACTACTCGCAACTAAACGTGTGTTCGCTTTGCTAGCTCCTTCATAAAGATTTCTCTTAAAGATAAGGATATAAGGATATTGTTGTATTTCCCTGAGGTTGAATATAAGGATTTAACTTTGTCACATTGACAATGACAATCACTGTCATTGTCATTTGGCTTTGTGCTCCATATAGTGAGTGAGTGAGTGAGGTTAGTTTTACGCCGCACTCAGCAATATTCCAGCTATATGGCGGCGGTCTGTAAATAATCGAGTCTGGACCAGACAATCCAGTGACCAACAGCATGAGCATCGATCTGCGCAATTGGGAACCGATGACATGTGTCAACCAAGTCAGCGAGCCTGACCACCCGATCCCGTTAGTCGCCTTTTACGACAAGCATAGTCGCCTTTTCTGACAAGAATGGGTTGCTGAAGACCTATTCTACCCCGGATCTTCACGGGTCTGCTCCATATAGAGAGAGCGTACTTGCTTTAGTTACTAAATCTTGATATATGTGAGTTAAATTCCGTGCTCTCTGTAAAATAACTATGTTTGCTGCAATTACAGCTACTGAATATAGGGATTTAACATAAAACTCAATATATAGAGAGCACTTTTGCTGTTATTACCTAGAATTGATTTACGGATTTAATTTCGTACGCTCTTTGAAAATATTATCTTTGCTGTAGTTACCTGAGACTGATAATAAAGATTTAATTTACTTCTCCAAAAGCATAATCGTTGCTTTAACAACCTGAGACTGATAATAAGGGTTAAATTTAGTTCTCCAAAATGATAATCTTTGCTGTAATTACCTGATACTGAACAAGCAGCCGACCCCATCTACTGCTGCCGGTGTCTCTTCCTGCATGCAGGTGGCAGGATCCGGTGGCAGCATCCCAGAAGTAGGAGCCACACCTGGTTGTGTAGGTACACAGAGAATCACAGACCAGGGAGGAGGGCGTCACTCTGGTAAGGAACACATCCTGGCCATGACATGTAATACACCTATATACACTGTAGAATGTCAACAGCTGAACAACCAACGTCTGCATGGTGTGGCCCTACACTATCTGACGAGCAGGGCAAATAGCGTTCAATACACGGCGCTTCTCAATATACACCTGCACATAAATATTTGAAGAGCCATGATGTTGATTGGAGCATTCATACGTATAAATGGAATCAATACGGCGTTCCGTCACGTACTACGGTAAAAACATATATCGTATATACATCGTTTTTATAATAAAGACAGTCGGTGCTTTAATTAATACTTTCACTTTGTTGGTAGTTTTGACATCGTATAGTGATCCTTATTAAACAGAACAAGAATTAGCGAAGGACAATATTCCATATATAGATTCAGGAATAAACCCAGACATATACCTCTAGTAGAAAAGTATGTTTGTTTGTTTGTTTGTTTGTTTGTTTGCTTGTTGTTTAATGCCGTACTCAACAATACTACAGCTATTGGACGGCGGTCTCTAAATAATCGTTTCTGGACAAGACAATCCAGTGATTGAGACCATGACCATCGATCTATGCTGTTGGGACACGATGACATTCAGAATGCACGCGAACGAGACTGACCCATCGCTATAGTCTGTTTGGCTCAAAGTCGAAAACTACTAAACATATTATACTCAATGAAACACTGATCTGAATCAAAACATCAGACCAACTCTGTGATTTTTTTGCAGAATTTATGTCCTACAAATAAAAAAGTGGTTTTATAAACTATCGATAAAATTTTGACACCGTTCACTATTTGTTACGAGGGAGGGGTGCAAAGAGAGGAACAGACAGGTGTACGAGAAAGGATGGAGACAGCACAGCACAGGTAAATGATTCAATTACTTTGTCGGCACTTGTGCACGTGCTCCGCGTACACCTGGCTGTTCCTCTCTTTGCAGTCCTCCTTCGTAGCAAATAGTAAAACGGTTTCAAAATTGTAATGACAGTTTGTTAAACAACTTTTTTATTTTTAGTACATAAATTCTGCAAAAAAATCACAGGGTTTGTCTGATGTTTTGATTATGATCAGTGTTTCATTCAGTATTATATGTTTAGTAGTTTTCGAGTTAGATTGCAATTCATCGGTCCGATTTTGAGCCAAACGGACTATAGTCGCCTCTTACGACAAGACTTAATTGCTGAAGACCGTTTCTTACCAAGATCAAGAGGCGTGTTTTGAGGAAACCTGACTGAGAGTTAATGAATACAGAACGACGATGTGTGTGGTATCCTAAATGCCAGCCAGGGTAACAACAAGTGTCATCTTTCAGAACTTTGTATAACAAGACACTTTGCGGTATGTCATTCCAGAACACGGCATAACAAGGCTTATATTGGTATGTTAAACTGGAAAATAGGAAAGCAAGACACACATTAGTGTCTGATGATATAAAATTGATACCAAGCCCTGCATGTATGTGATATAGAATGTACCAGACCCTCTCTCGGGAATAATAATGTTATTGGTTATGCAGAATTACAGATAGCAAGTGGCAGTGTGTTGTCTCAGAATATCGGATAACAAGATTGCAAATCTTTTATTGGTATGTTACACTCGCAAATGGGACAATGGGAATCAGATGCTTTCTAGGATGAGTAAGTTCAATTTTAGTTTCCACTGCGTGTCATTATCCGTCAAAAACTGTTTTATAAGTGCATGCAGATTTATGATAATTTTCTTAATCTTCCACCACAAGAAAAATTCTGCTGGCTGATGGAAACAGACCATATCCAATATGACTTTTGTAAATCTCTGCAATTCATGTATTATAGGAGGTTATTGCAAGACTAGCTTTGATCTATATACCACTATAATCTATGTAACTTGTATGTGAATGAATGTATTGTGAATGAGTGATTCTTTTATGTATATTTGAATGTATTTTATTCCTTCTGTGATTAGTTGTATATTACCAACTGTCTCTTAAAAGGGTGGTAAATACTCTACGAGAGATGAGAAGGTTGATATTAATAATATAGCTCCCTTTTAACAGTTCTGAGAGATCATGAAGTGTGAAACGGTGTGACTGATGTATATATAGTTTTATATATATATATATATATATATGAATATTTTTTATAATAGTTTTTATTCAATTTACTGAAAAATATATGTATTTATCTGGTGTCATTTAGGCCAGAACTGGCCCGGTGTTTGTATAAGGTAAGGTGCCAAAACGTACTACTACATGTAACATATGACACAGTAATAAACTATTATTATTAAAAATTTAATTTTTTTTATGATAAACTGTCGACGATACGGCGACAAACGAATATGGCATTTTTTTGTTAAATTCGTTCATGCAAATCATCCCTTCCAGCAACATACTCTGCGTCCATTCACTTATTTATGTATTGTACGAAATCGTGGTCTTTAGCATTCTGTTAAAGTGTAAATCGATTAGCGATGTCCAAATGCCTTAACGGTAAATATCCAAGCATTACCATTTTAGTAGATTTTAATTTCCAGAAAATCCGTTGGGTGTCTTCAAAATCTTTCATCAGTGGTAGTCAATAGTCAGTTGTGTCACTCTGATGTCGTTATCATCTCTTATTGACAAATCATTAAAATGTTTGGTGCAATAAAATATTGATTAGAACAATGTCGTTAAACACAACTGAAGATAATGTAGCACTGACCGTGACGACACGTTCGATAACTTAGGGCTGGGTGTGAGACGGTGTAAGGATTGCATTAATACTAACCATCCTGGCACGACAATACGCGCTGTTTTCAAGGATGATGTTGTTGCATTAATATTGGATTCTGTGGGCCTGTGTCAGGTGCGTGACAGGTGCGTGACAGGGGCGTGATAGGTGCGTGACATGGGCGTGACAGGGGCGTGACAAGGTGAACATTTCAGAGCGGCTTTATTGTGGGTGTAGTTATTTAACAACGATTGCAATGGGCAGTATATAATTACACCAATATACCGATTTTTGTTTTGTAGATGGTCATATCAGTCATCGTGTTCTCAAAGTGCAATGGGCAGTATATAATTACACCAATATACCGATTTTTGTTTTGTATATGGTCATGCCAGTCATCGTGTTCTCAAAGTGCAATGTTGCATGTATTCGTAGGCACAGACCTAATTTCATTTATTAAACATGTATCGGCCAATTTGAAACAATAAGTTAACTGGAAATCAGGAGGGGAAAGAATTGTGTGTGAAACAACGACATGTGATATCAACAAAGATGTTTAGGGTTACAAATCAGTGCCAATCTCTAGTTAAGAATTACAATGGCAGTACAAGATGTGACAAACTCAAGGGCAGTGTAATATGAAAGCAGCGACTATAGCAATAAAAACAATGTGAAACATAAAAAAGTATTTTCACATAACAGCTTCTTGAGTGACAGTAGAAACTCAAGGGCTGTGCTTAGAGCTCAGGTCACAAATCAGTTGAAGTGAAGCAGCGTTGACCGCAGAAAGGTCTTGGATGGGTGACCGTGTTTGGCTGCTTGACTCCTGAGGGTGTCAAGGAATTCAGTCCTGCCCCGCAACAAAACACATGTGATACATGTGGTCATACTTTAGGCAAGTGACTTTGTTCAAAATTGCCTCTGTTCACCCAGCAGAAAAATGGGTACCCGGTGGTATTAGTCATATGACTATTACCTTCTAGCGTCTAACAGGCAGCTTGTGTTATCGGGGTAATAATGTTGTGCTGTTTGTGCGCGCTTTGAGCATGCCACTTTGTGGTGTGGAGTATTGCGCGGTATAAGTACCCACATTATCATTATTATCACTATAAGATGACCGAGACAAAGGACATGTATGCCCTCGTATACAGACTAAGTGGTCGGGAACTTTCCATAATAATCTGCTTTAGAGTATATTGGAAAGACAGATGCTTTTCCAGAACTCTCAGTCTAAATATATACCTGTGAAGGTCCGGGTTAGAATATTGATCTTCAGTAACCCATGCTTGTCGTAAGAGGCGACTAACGGGATCGGGTGGTCAAGCTCGCTGACTTGGTTGACACAGATCATCGGTTTCCAATTGCACAGATCAATGCTCGTGCTGTTGATCACTGGATTGTCTGATCCAGACTCGATTATTTACAGACCGCCACCATATCGCTGGAATATTGCTGCGTGCGGCGTAAAACTAAACTCACTCACACTCACTCAGTCCAAATATAGCACAAATCTACACAACTCTACACATAGCGACAGGCTGCCTCTTGCTGAATGGAACACTGTAAAGGCTGTAGCACACTTGAACACTGTTGCACAATGAACTACACCGCCACCTAAGACCATTCGCAATATACTTCAGAGTCCATTGTAACATTCGAATTCATACTGTTTCTGCTTAGGAAATAAATCATAAGGGTATTCTCCAAGGGGATATACTTTTCCAGTAGTGTTTCACTGCACGCTAATGGACCACGTGTCAGATACTTCTCTTTAGAGATACCAACAATGCATCATGCTTGCGTTGCTAATCTACGTCTATTCCGAGCAACGCCCTACCCTCAAGGAAATAACGACTTCATTAAGCCGCTGGCGAACGTCTGAGTCTCGATAAAAGATGTCATGGTATGATGATGTTTTATCGGGAAATATCGTGAAATATACCACACCTCGTTCTTTACCTTTTAGCAATTTACCGCGTACCTCTCTTAGATTGTCCACACAATGGAATTCAGATGACGAAATCACTTTATTTAATGTATTCACTTTATTTGATGAAATCGCATCATTTGCAGTTCAATACTCGCTGTTTATGCATTTATAGTACAGTATTTTGAAATTAAAGGTCACATGCAACCAAAAATCAAACATAATTAAATCACAATTATCACTTATTCATGACATATAATATACATTGCTGGTTATGAAAAAACATATAAACAAAATTATAAGCGTACAATCGCAAATCAAAAGTGCAATATTGTGGACTTGGGTTTACTCCCAAGAAACGAAGCAGCCGGGATACCGAACCCAGTCAGAGCAGGTGGGTGTACACTCAAGTGTAACGGCTGGTTCATTTGCAGATGCCCTTACGGCTCATTGTGTGTGTATATATAGAGATGTTT